CGCATTGATTTCAAAGTGTAGAACGGCAGCAGTTGCATTGATTGGGGGAAAGATGACCGTGCAGATCGGCCGCAACCCGGTCAAAATTGTCACCATCTTGGGTCGTGAGTGATCGCGTACTCCCATTATCCAGATGGAAACATCCTGTTTGCACAGGAGCCCACCTAAGTGACAAACCATACCCAACCATCATTATTCAGGCTTCATTGTATCCACTCTTTCCGTTCATGTCCCACCATCCTGTTAATAACTGTAATTAATTTTTGTACTTCACGCACTCCTTGATACCGGCAGAGATGCATTGAAGTGCGGTCTAAAATCCCCCCCCCCGGCCATGGCTGTAGCAAAACTACATGAACTGAATTAAGATAAAAGTGAATTCAGTAAATGTTTAGTGAAACTTTCACATTCTGTTTTAGCATGTGACTCAAGAAAATGAGTCCTAAGTCACAGAGACACTCTGCAGTAAATGTCTTTCATGGATTCTCTCACAATATAAAAGAATCAGGAACCCTCAGCATGTGTCACTCACATACAATAGCCCTAAAACTCATTTTGTTGGATCTCAGGCACACATGGAAAGGAATGCAGTGAGTAGAAATCCTCATCAAACTACACCGCGTGTCTGGTTAACAACCCGCATGTGAGCCAGCCATTAAATTTCCTTTGGTGTGATCACATGCTTAGGTGCCTCCTATGTTTTGTAAATAAACAAGTTTGGCAGGTGAAAGCCTATCACATGTATTTATGTGAAGTAACGCTGGAGTGTAAAACACAGGCTTCAAATGTGGAAATTTAGGCTCTGTTTCGACATCAGGGACAGTTTATGAAATGGAAATAGAGCGTGTTTCATGAGTGAAACTATTTGTATAAACTTGCTTTCCTCCCAGTCATAATTTTTTTCCGCTGTGTTTCACTCTGGTTTTTCGGTTTCTTAATGCTAAAAGTGCCTAAGGACACAGAATTTGTGATATTCAGGCATATGTAAATTTCCGTATTTCTACAGATTTACAGTTGAGTGCATCACAAGTAGTCTTATCACAAAATAACAAAGGACAAAAGTGACAGCTAAATACTTGTAATTTGATTGGATGTTTTGTGAGGATCTGAGTGCAGCACTGCACACATAATGGCGAACATTCCAGTGCCCCTTCATATTCCCAGAATTCTCGCAGAGCTTGCGTATCATCATCAATATAGATTGACTACACAGCTATAAATAGCCAGAGAGTTAGCACAGATTTTCACCTCTGGTCTGAATACAAATGCACTGCGTCATTCTCAAAAAACTAACTCCATGAGAAACGCACATGTGTACATTCGCCGCTCCCGGAACTGCTGGATATGAAACATAGCCCAGCAGGAGGGACGTGTGGCCCCCTGTCCCTCTACTTGTATATCTGTCACTCAGTGATCTACAGACCTTGATCCATGCCCTAATCTGAAGCCTCAGGCACTGACTATCTCAGCTGAGGTTGCAGGAATGTTATCAATCTCAGTACCTTCTGCACAATGAGGAAACCATGTGACAATATAAGACCCGCCCCTTACCCAGATAGAACTTTCGCTCTCTGCAGAAGAGACATCTGTTTTCTTCTTTTCATTTCACTTACATTATACTAGATACCGATTTTGCCTTAGCCATAAATGTGACGTGGTCTAAAAATAAACCAAGTCTGACGTGTCAACATGAACTTCATAAGTTCACTACATGCACAGTGTATATGAGTGGAAAGTAAATGTAATATTTTTTTCTGATACATACCATGCACCTGTTGTAGGTGTTTTGTCACTCTTTTGTGTTTCATACTGCAGAATTCTTATCAAGTTACGAAAACTGTCTATTGGCAAGATCAGTTTTGAGAAATGTATTGCCACAAATCAATCAAAGCACTCAAAACTTTTGAATGTTCAGTCTTTGAATTCTTTGCATTGCAGCATTCTAATGACAAACAATGATTTTTTACATACTTGTAAAAAATATGCAAACATCCTTATTGCTGTATCATAAATAAGTTTGCAACTGGGAACTTTAAGCTCAAATTTGAGGGCATATTTACTTATATTTTGGCACGACCCTCCACCCCCTGGGTTCCCAAGCAAAGGATTTACTTCAGAATTTTAATGGAAGGCCAGCTTTTTATCTTGGTATGCGCCCTGAATATCTCCTGCATGCACACAGCTGCCTTGTGAGTTTTACTTTTATTACCCTGTGCCTTATACTGTTTCACCCTGATAGTATCTTGATTTCTAGAATGTCATCTTAGATCACGTTACACCTTCCTGACATGGATCAGCAGGGTTTTGTTGATATTAGTGAAGAAGGTGTAAGTATAATGCTTTTTGGAAGAGTAAAAGCTCAACTTGAAGATTGGGTGACAGTGGACCCTAAGCAGAAACCTAGCAGTGTGTGGAGTACTCATCAGAACCCAATAGGCATATCTTACCAACATTTCTCACAGCACAAATTGAAATGTGCTGAGCAAAATTGATTGAAGCACCAGGCATAAGCAGTGTATTAACATACTGAGGCTTACCAAATCTTGAGCAATATCGTAGTTGAGTAATTTTCGAGTGCCAAGTTTTCTGTCACATATTGAACCGGTTTGGAGCAAACAAAGATGCAGAACATGAGCATTGGATGGTAAATGCACAGAGGTTAAGACTACAAAAGCAAAAGACAACTTCCGACTGTCACTGCTTGATAGAAACGAAGTGTTTATGAGAAAAGTACTCGAACAGTACTTGGCCAATTACTTTTTGAATTCTCTTCTCCCTCAAATTTGATTTTTCTAAAACTAGGAGTAACTGAGATCTTACACTTTGTATGTAAACTTACTTTTGTGCATTGACCATCAGTTCAATGTATGTATTTGACAGTGAACTTGGAAATTGACAGGTGCTCAACAACACTGCTTTTGAGCATGAAAATTACTTGTATTGTTATATTTGTATTAAATTTATGTATGTGAGGCAACATTATCAGAAGTTGATAAGATTAGAAATAGTATTTTAAATACTTGGTACCTCGCACTAATGCATGTTGTCAAGGGGTTGTACATGCATATCATGTAAGACTGATTAACTGGTAATCAGTAACTAATTATTTGATATGAGCCATCCCAATTAAAAGCTGAACCACATGTTGACCTACATGTACATGTATGTGTATGGGTGGCTTCATTCTACAGTTGTAATTTGGAATTGTTTTCTGAACCTCGATGCTCAATTTGTGTTCTGTAATCAAACATGACGAGATGAGAAAAAGATTATACCAACAAACTATGCACAGATATAAGGATTGTCTCTAACTTTCGCTTCAATTGCTGAATTACAAGTCATTGCTTGTGACTTCCTTCAAAGGTGCACTGAAGAAAAGAGGGTGATTACATGCTTCAACATTGTCCGCAAGTTGTGATCAGATGACTTCAGGGTCTCTGTATTGACAATCCTCTTAGACTGGTTGTATGTCCTCTTAGCCTGTTATGTATACAACCCCATTCATTGATCCACACTTGCAACTTTGTTGTGTAAGTCTCACCCTGGGCTTTTGGGGCTTCATTGCTCCTTGATGTTGTGGATTTATCCCTTGTAGCAAATCAATCAGATACACCAGAAGTGTTTGTGCAACAACAGGTATTGGGCAAATAGGGATTGGACCTAATCCTTTAAGTAGGATTATCCCCTCTCCCAACAAGCCCTTCAATTGATTATTGAAAGCTTAGCGCCAGTGATTTTAGCCAACTAGTGGTTTTGTCAGTCTGGACTTTGTTTAAATATTCAACTTGCAGTTATTTGGTAATTGGAAATTGTCACAAAGGCACATGACAAAAGATTTTTGGGGCTGAGGTCTGTGAAACAGTTACTCTGAAAAAATTGTTTCATCACTAGGCAACAGAAAGTTTGCAGTCCAACAACTTGAAAAATGACATGCCGTATCCGGTTCGTAAGTGACTTTGTCACAAAGGCGGACGCGCCACAATTTGCAGGCTCCCACTGGACGATCGCAGAAGTTGCGCTTCCGGCTCCATGGTTCCATGTGAACGGCGATCAATGAATGTAGCTTAAATGTAGCTTAAATTGAAGTGACGTCACACTTACCAACTGGATAGACAGTAGCTCCCAGAAACTAGGTTGTGATAATTGTGTTATTCTGACCGTCTGTCCCTTGCTCTGTGTTCTGACAAAGTAAAATTACCAGTTCCTGTTCTTCAATCTGAAGCATAGGTGAACTTCCTTGGCTAAAGTTGAAAACATAACCAACAAATTCTTATCAGGTGTTGAAATTTGAATGTATGAAATTGTCCTTTGTAGAAAGAATTACATACATTACCAGGATAATCTACATAGTTCCAAAGCATTTTGTTTCAGTGAGCCAGTTCGGTATTTAAAAAACCTAAGGTCTCTTTGGGAACAAAGCGTGCACGTGAGTCAGCGTATGGCTTCTCTGATAGGACAGACTATCGCAGGCAAGTGTAGCTGTTCCTGAATAGCCTCGGATTGGGCACGCGCTGTTGGAGTACTAAACTTGCTCATCCTAAACTTATGGGTGCCTTATTTTGTCACTATTGAGGGGGAACTTCTGCACCCATGGGGAGCTCGGTCTAGAAGTACATCTGTTTTGATGGTAGTTACATGTATCTCCTTCAATCTACTCATTGGGAAACATGTGGCCTGGTAAGGGGTTATAGCTCCCAATTATAAGGTCACTGGTTCACATCCAGGAGCTGGTAACATGTTGCAACCTCGGGCAAGTCACTCCCCCCCCCACTTGCCTCTTTCCACCTAGGAGTGAATGGGCACCTATGAGGTCGGTGTGGTTGATCAGCAAGGTAGCACCTGAAATAGCTTCATCAAGCTGTATGCTCCCCAGGGTGCTGGGATGGTTTCAGGAATGATTACATGCTCGATTAGCTGGGATGATAACAGTGTCAGTGCAGGCCTAATGAGAAGTGTCAATTATCTTTATCGTCACGGAGAGTCTTTGCCTTTATCCCCAGATCAAGATGGAGCAGAGCCGAGTGCCAACTCGGTGTCGGCCCTCAACCTCCTCAGGCTTGCTCAGATGACAGGGAACCAGGAGTGGGAGACAAGGGCGGACCAGCTCTTTGCGGTCTTCTCTGACAGACTGACTAAGATCCCCATAGCACTGCCGGAAATGGTGTCTGCCTTGGTCCTCAAGCACAGCACCCCAAAGCAGGTGAGTTGGTGAGCAGTTGAAATAAGCATGGTTACATTTGTGTGGACCCGAGAGTAAAAGATGTCCTCAGATGGGTAAGTAAAACATAACGAAGACTTGCCCAGGTCCACATATCATTTCCCCCTCTCTACTAAAAACACTTTCGAGGTATTTTTAGTAGAACTTTCAGTGGAATCATCCTAGAAAGTCCAGGTTGAAAGAGTGTTCACAGTTCTTCTAAAAGTACATCTTACCCTGGTTTATCTTAACACAAGCACTCCTCAATTAAGGACTGAGGCCTATTAAGGTGAATAACAGAAATATGTTTGTAAAAGTAAAATCAAACATCCCGTTTTTTCAAAGACATATCAGAGATTGCTCCAGAATGCTATTCGACCTTTCACCATGCAACAATCAAGGTTTTTATCAACCTATCAAATCCAGGGCCAATATATCTATGCTGTTCACCATGGGGCAATATATCACTATTGCCCGTTGAATTAGTAACAATTTGTTGCAGTGCTCAACAGTGCTGTGTGGCAGTGCATCGTATATTATTGGACAGGTGTTTGAGTCATTTGACCCAGTGGAATGCACAACCCAACAGGACCAATTGTTCCTGCTAAGTCGCCTGCTCTCTAGATGTAGAAGAGTGGCAAAAATAATACTCTTTTTCAGTTAATCTTCCTCTCCCTTAGTGTGAAGTTTGCTTTAAGAGTGATTTCTGACTCTGGCTCAGAGTGAACTGAAAAAAAAAAAAGCTCTAAAAGAAGTGAAAAAAAAAAACCAAACGCTCTTTTTAGAGTGGCAAACCAGGGACCACCTATGATGTAACAAAATGGTGTTTTTCGCTCTTACATTTAGAGAGCAGCAGGGCACAGACCTCACTCTCCGTACTACTCCCTCCTTCCTCCGCCCCCACAGACACCCCACTTTTTCACTGAACACTGAGATGCTGCCTTAAAGAGAAGGTAGACCATTTCAACGACCCCCAAATTTAAAACTGTCATTCCAAGCATGAAGCGCCCAGTTCCCTTGAAAAGCCTCTCTTAAGAAGACCACTCTTAATTCAGAGGGCATCCTCCGTGACCCAGCTGTCCTGACAGAAGTTATAAATTTTCTCCCGACCAAAAAAAAAAAGCAGGCCACGGCATGCCCAGTTCGGCAGAGCTCAGCTCAGGTCAAACACCGTCTGACAACCCTGCGACTGCCCAGGTTCACTTACCTCGTTGAGTCTTCCTTCACAGGTATCTAATCACTCACGATACGTCAATTCCCGTGACACGCGCGTTATCGGGAATGCAATGCATCATCTTCCTGTTCTCCACGAAAGACTGTCCGCTGATATGTGCACCCACTGGCTCTTCATCGTTAGAGCCGGACCGTTTTTTTTTTTTTTTTTTATGGGCCATAGCCCGCAAGATTTTAACATTGTTTTCATTCAAGCCATAAAGAAAGGAATCTGTAAACATCTGTATCTTTATTTTTGGTGGGCGCACTTTATTACCAGCTGCATGGCCGCTAATGGATTTTATTGTGACACCCTGCGGTTGCACGACCTTCCTTGAATTGTAGTTCATTGTTCCTGTGACCAACTCTTTCTTGCATCACAACGTCGGTCTTTGCACAACGTTTATTGCTTAAATACGTTAAGTTTCTTGGTTTGCTCTTATCCACCAGCCAATTGACGGGCGCAGATGAAGTTTTATAGATCTCATTGAAATATGTGTTCAGGAAGTGGTGGCATTGCAGAGCATTGTGGGTTAACTCACTGTCAGAATCAATATATATATGTTCCAAACAGTTCTGTCCAATGAGAACAAGAGGAGATTACATCATGTATCTCAATGAACTAAGACACTACCAGCACCCTATATCGGATAGCGAGTAGAAGTAAAATATCTCAGTTTTGTGATTAAGAGAATAATGAGCAGCCAGATGATGGATGACACTGGATAAACTAAGTTAACGTGCAGGTGTAGAATAGCACAGATTGCTGCCAATTAACAAATCCCAATGACACATTCATTTTAATTAAGTGTTCAGTGCAGGGGCAATTGGATTCTACATGAATCAAAGGCTGAACACTCCCTTGACCTCTGAGATATGTAGTTTGAAGAATATCCTACACGACACTGGCCTTATTTTCAAAATTCTACCGAGTGAAAATTCATTCTATTCATTGGAAAGTTCTCTCCTTCCAACTGAAACTAGGGAAAATACAACTCTGAGTTGGAATTTTTAATTCTCAAATAGATGGAGAGATTTCATGCAAGTTTCCTCTGGACTGGTCCTCTTTCAATCTAAATTTTCAGTTTCATTCTAATTAGATATGTTTTCACGCTAAATGGTTTAGTTCCTAGTTTCCCTCTCTGGTAATAAGGTAGTAGTTTTGCACGCAGTGCATGATTTAATTTTTTGTTTACAAATTTTAGGATTCAGGAGGTATTTAGTGAGATGTTTTGAGAATTAGGATTAATGTGCATTAAATTTCTCTCTAAATTCCAAAGAGTGAAAATTCACTCCATTTGAGTGAAAATTCAATCCCTCAGACTGAAATTAAGGACCAGACGAATTGGAGTGAAATTTTTTTCTCTCCAAAAGACTGAAATTTCACTGGAGCTTCCACTGAAAGGGGCTATATTCAGCCTTTATCAGTCTAAATTCAGAGTGATTTTCACTCTCAAACGTCTTGTCCCTAATTTCACTCTTTCTGATTTAGAGAATTTAAACTCAGGGAAGACACTACTAGGAAAACAAAAAGTATGCATCCTTTTTAAAACCACAGAAATGCAGTCAAAATTACATTTCCTGCAGTGAATAGATTTGAAGTGTCACATATTGCTTGCTTGTAATATAAAGGTTGTGATATTCAGTGTTACATTTGTTGAGCAGTTTTGGAATGACTCTTTAACTTCCACAAAGTATCCATGCCTGAATGGCACACACCTGCTGCATTATATCAGGGTGTGTTTTCAGGGTACTTGTATTTCCCCGGCACACAAGGAACAAGGATTTATGTTACCTTAAAACTCACCAGTTTGAAATTCTGCTTGAAATTTGGTCAATCCTCACCATAATCATGTGCATCTTTAATTTGCTCCCCTCTTTTGTTCAAATTCAGTCGTTTTGTAATGTAGAAATCAATTGTTCTGTTTTGTCAGAAGATGAGCAATAAATGAGGCCTGATGGCTTCCAGAGAGAGACATTTACAAGAAAAAAAATTAAAATGTTTAGCAAATGGGGAAAATCCCACCCGCCAAAATGTTCTATTTTTAATATAGTTTTAACAGTTGGTTCTCTGCTAATTTGTCGTTAGAGACGGGTGGAGCCCAAATCAATCCTTATTATTGTATTGAGTCTTGACTTTTTAAAATTTGAATCTACATTTCATTTTAGGGAAGGTAAAGACAGGAAATCCTCACTGAAACTCCATGCATGAGTGATTCTGTGAACGTTGCATTATTCTTGGAAGTAGTTTATCACTTTTATTCTTATCACAGAGGAAATAAATCTGCTTTCTCAGTGATGCATCAAATGACATCAACAAAAAACTTTGTGGAATCTATTTCTTCCAAGAATTGCCCCATTTTTAAACTCATATCAGAGTATAAAGCCCATTTTCAAAATGCCATGACCTGGTTGGAATTGATTCTCAGGCAACTAGAATTACTCTCTAAATTCCATTGAGTGGAATTTCACTCTTTTTGACTGAAAATTCACTCCCTCCAACTGGGCAAAATGACTTTGAGTGAATTTTACTCAACTGAATAAATTGAGATTTCGCTCAAGCTTCTACTGCACTGGAGTGGTTCTTTTTTAGACTGTGCCACGACTATTTTAGACTGTGCAGTCCCCGGTTTTGACTCTTTGGAAATAAGAAATTGGAGATTAGAGAGTGGTTACTATAGAGAGTTCATTCCTTGAAAAGTGGACTTATGGGTCAAGAGTTCTGAATCAGTTCTATTTTGGTTCTGAAGCAAAACGTAATTAAGCACATTTGGTCAGACTGCCAACACCCACATATACCTCTGAATAGTACAAATTTCCCCACAGAGCAGTAAACAACCAATAGCCAGCCACTAGCAATACCAAACTATATCGTGTGACATTTGAGTCTGTATATCACTGTGCTGTTTCACAGTCAGGACAATAGTTGCTCTTACTGTAGCAAACAAGTAATTATGGTCCTTAAGCACAATTTCATGGCTTGGAAGTGCTGATTGGTGTATGCATGGAGATTTGTATTGTCATGTTATTGACGTAAGCTGTTCTTCTGGGGGTTAAACTTGCCTTAATTTGCTTAATGGTCTCTGTGAAGTAGATAGAGGTCCCGTGTCAGCACAAAATATGTAGAAGCAAGCAATACCTCCCCACTTTTTCCCACTGAATTTAGAGTGCTTGTGTTTACTGGGGCACATCTCTTAACCACCAGAAGCAAATAAGATGAAATAATAAGCATTATCAAATTAAGAGTGTCTTCTGTAAAACTGTTCAGTTATGAATACTATCAGTTGATATTTTGCCAACACCATGAAGTAACACCCAACTGGACTTCAGTGCACGCTCTGTCCCAAGTATTTTACAGAACTGAGTCATTTCTGTTGTCACAGAGTAGTACCAAGGCACAGTGGTACATCACTCGGTACATTTTTGCTTTCTCAAAGTAGCACCCAACTCTATGTCATCAGCTTATTGTTAGATGTTAATTTATCCAAATTGTATAAAAGTACCTTAACAGTGTTGTAACTTTGTGAAAATGAAAACTGTTCCCACCAATCTCTAATGTGCATGTGCATACTTGGATAATGCTTTATGAAACCAAAATTTGTAATCCAAGTATAGTTGATTTGGGTGTTACTTTCTGGTGTTGGTGACCATTCTGTGTTTAAGATAGACTGCAAATGCTTACCCCATTTTTTAGGGGACCTCACTGTTTATCACTAGCCTATTGAAATAGTATTTCACCTTTCCTGTCTGCAGATCATCATCCGTGGGGAGCCGGACGCCGCAGACACCCAGGCCCTCATACGGTGCGCCTACTCCCGCTTCCTCCCCAACAAGATTCTCCTCCTGGCCAATGGCAATAAGGACTCTTTCCTTTATGCCAAGCTGAGTCTTCTGCCCACCCTGGAGAAGTTGGACGGGAAAGCTACGGCTTACGTCTGTGAGAACTACCAGTGTCAGTTGCCTGTGACCTCCGTCGAAGAACTGGACAAGTTACTCTAGAAACCTTGTCCAAAACATTTTGTGGATGAGATTGGGTGTAAGACAAATTTATAATTAAATTAATATAAATCAGATATTAATTTAGTATTATTCCATTTTTAAGTTGAATGATACATTTTTGGTAATCGTTTATGGAAATAACCTAAGCAGAGGGTACTCAAAGGGGTGCTGCTAGTTTTTTGTTGGGGGGGGGAATCATCATCTATTGGCAAGAGCTGCACACCTCCATTAAGAGTGTTACTTGATGTCACATTATGTCATTTTTGCAGTCGTTAAATGGGGGGGGGGTTCAGACTATCTGTAATTTCCCATTAAGGTCATTTGGCAACTTTATGGTCACATCCCTGCCTCTCACACATTGGTCTAGCAATATCCCTGTATGCAATTAAACTCAGTATACTTTACTTTTCAAAGTTGCGTACTTCTTTTGCCAGATTTAGGCTGACTTTAATGTGTATGGGTATCAGGATTAATCCACTGCTTCTAAATTCAAGAAGACAGACATAAACTCTCTCTGAAAATATTTTGTATAACTTAATGTAACCCACCAAGTGAGGGTGCTTAAAAGCAATGGTCCATATAAAGCATGTGTGAAGTATGCTTTAAATAGTAAAATGCAAGTATTTCCCCTCAACTGCATTTGGAACGGGCCGTCATGTCTTGGAAAGAATACAGACTAAAATCAAATACCTTCATTTCCAAAGCTTGTACAAAATGATTAAATGCATATACAGATGATGTTTCACGTACCGATCAAATCCTACCCTCTAGTTTTTAACTTTCCTGTGACCGCCCCAAGCTGCACTATGTACTCACTCAAACACAATTTAAACAGTGTCCCATAGTATCACAGGATGCAACCCCAAACTTCACTCACTCGCCCATCTTCCCCTGTAGTTCTGTTAAATTTCCATGGCCAATGAGTTCCAAAACACAAAAGAAAAGAAAGAACATCTAGCACCTTTATAATGAAAATATATTCACAGTGCTACTAAACCTTATATTAAACAAAAATTGCATTACTTGGTTTCTATCAAATTTACATGGTTCATATCATCTGATGTGGATGTTAAACTTATAAGAAGTGTTCGTGTAATGGAGAAAGGATAAATTTACTATTTTCTCTGACCTACCTGGATTCTTTTACACAGGTTAGTGGCCCCCACAAATGTCATGTGGACAGAAAACCCTTTTCCAATATTAAAGAAAGTCTATTTTTGTATTAGACTTTTCATCAAAAGGAAAGCTAACCAGATTAATGAGAGTATAGAAACCCGAGTTAGGCCAACATTTTAGGGGGAAGAAAGACCATTGATCAAATTAAAATTCTGTTGTCAAAAGGTTGGTTCCAGTTTGTATGCCATGAAATAAAGCAATGACACGGATAAGAATTCTGCATATACAAAGATTTTGCTTACCTTCTAAGGAGTTATGAAAGTAGCTATTTTTACAAATACATTTTACTTTAATAATGCAAACCATTATACATTACCAAAACTGAATTCACAGTAACTACAAAATACATAATGCAAATTGCTTTGGACTGGGCAATATTATAGCATCCAAAGAACCTGTCCACTCAGAAACAAAATTATGGGCATTTGATAAAGAATAAACTATTTATGAAGTATTCTAAATGTATACACAGCCTTCCAGCTATTTGTCATCCTTGTATGATTCGAAATGAACACAAACAAGTGGCTGATAGAACTGGATAGATACCATGGAGTAGAGGTCATAAGGTCAGCGAACCACTGAACCTACATACTTCAGGGGTGCTTCCTTGCAAAATATCCTGACTTCCTAACAGATAAACTTGCAAGTATTTTGTCAGTCATTCTTTAACTTTTCTTCTGTGAGTTAGGGATTGAATTATAAAGTTTACACCAAGGTTTTTTTCTGGTTCACCAGTTTGTAATTGCCTGTTAATTGAATTTTCACCCTCTGTTAAAAGCTACCTGGTGCAGATCCCCATGACATAGAAATAAATATTTCAAATGAGGAAAAAAGAGCATTATTGAGGCTATTCTGTGAAACCAGTGAAAAGCGCCCATGTCTGTTCATGTTGCCTTGTTTCCTTCTAATTTGCTGGATTGAAAATAAAACGAATGATCAAGAAAATTGCATATGTATCGTAACAAGAATCTGGGTTCAAGGGATTTTTACCATTGAACAACTTTACCTTGGACAAGTTGTACAGGAAAAGAGATCTGGTTTGCAAAACTCAATTTAGATTGTCAAACAAAAGTATAAATCATGATAAATATCTTCTTTGCAAATACTGTAGGAGTAAACATTAACAACCCTTGTCTTTTCTAAATTTGATGCATTCTAGTGCCTATGTCTTCAGTTTTTCCTTTATCTTTTCATTTGTCTGTACAGTGGGTTGTTGGAACTTTATACTTACTGCTTTCAGATAGCTTATGGGGAAAAATGAATAAATTATGAGCATAATCGTAATAATAAAATTATCATGTTATGTTAATTGATTTGTTTTTGTTAGTTTTAAAAACCCAAACATTAAAAACGGAAATAAGTAGAATTCATTGAGAATCAGACAAAAAATACCAAACTCTGGGAATAACTGTCGAGACCGTACTGGGAATTCATTTTCCTTTTATTTTTAATGGCAGGTTTTAAGATGATCTATATTTGGTATCAGATTTCAGGATCCATAATGTATACAACTTACCTTTTCCGGAAATCCGATGTTAGATACATTGTAACATTTTGTATATACATGTATTTCAGTGTAATCACCTTTGGTTTTTACAGTCCAACGATCTCATTACGGTACGTTAAGCCGGACGGGATGTTGGGGGATAGGGTCAAAGAAAGTCTGAACGATTTGTTAAACTTCCAAGAATCAGATCCAGCCTATTTCAAACATAGTATCGAAATAGCCCCTTAAAAAATTTGTTTGCCTCACATTGTTTCAACCACCCAGCGATACTGTGGTCGGGATGGGCGTGAAATTTGCTGGTCTTTCATGGATGCTTCTCAAATTTTGTCTATTCAGAGCTCTAAAAATTTTTGAAAATGGAATATAAGATCGTTTTCCCGTGAGTCACCCAAAAATAAATTTTTCCTAGTCTTAGAGTTTGATCCAAAATTTTCTGCCATTTTGCTTTCTGAACAACAGACGAGCAGACGTAGACTATAAGCGGACGACACCGTGAACTGAATGTTTTGTTGGTGCCCCTAACCCTCTGGAATTATGTAAATAAAACATGAAGGGAACCAGTCAACCAAAGTTTTATTCAGCTGCAGACAAAAGATGATTGGCTTCCCGTATCCTAAATTGTCCAATCAAATATAAGCTTGTCTTTTACAGAATGCGAGCCTTTGCATTGTTTTATGAAGGATGCCTTTGAAGTATTATCTGGAAAAAGGAGGTCAACAACCGACAATTCTCGTTTTGGAGGACTCGTGCGTAATTCACACAATGTATACTATTCTGGAAGGTTCACACACTGCTGTTGCAAGAGCAAAAAGCGGGGATTTTCGTTAGATAATGGATTTAATTCGCAATTGCGGTACTCGGGTCTAATGACCCTTACAGCTGATGAATCTGGCAAGGTAGGTTTCTTTTTTGAAATAATGATTAAACTATTAATAGAAATCATTAATTTTGCAAGCATCGCCAGGAAGAGCATTAGCTTATAGTTATAATATGCGCCAGTTGCTTTTCTGTGTTAGATTTATCACTTCCTTTAATAAAGTCCAGAACCTTGCATGTATAAATTCATTCGAAGCGCTCCTTAAATATTCAGAAGTACGTGTATCTCTGCCGCTCAGACTTTGTGGCCGTCTTTGACTACAAGTAATAATGTTAGGATGTCGTGGCACATGTCATAGGCCTTAATTGCAGAATTAAGGTTTATCTTGCAATAGAAACCTGTGCTCAGTTCACCTCTCGGTTGACAATTCATTCTGTTGAGAATCGAATATTCTGAATTTTGGCCGAGACGGTTGAGTAATTCCTTTCCCATAAAATGTTAATTACTATCCTTTCCCAAATGGCTTTGTGTTATTCTGAAATTAGTGAAATGGAAAAATACAAAAACTGCTGCGATATGCTTTTGTGACTACAGTGACCTTGGTTACTTAATGTCTACATACTTTAAAAAGTTAGATGGCCTGACATTAGCTTGTAAATTTTTTTTCTATTTCTGTGAACAATTAACTGGCCCGGGCTGGTATGGCATTCAGAAAGCTCATCAAGGCAAGCACGGGCTTTCACAGAAGTGTGGCCTTGTTAGGTGAAAAAGCTGCCCTCATCCGTGGTCGCCCGGCAACTGCGCGCTGATGGTGCGGTTGCGGCGCGACGACCGTGTGAGTGCACCGCATGTACGTAGACTGCATCACAGCAAGTCATCCATATCACGCACGCCGGCATAATACAACCCAGCCACACGGTAGTAAATGACACGGATGACGATGCTCCAAACAGCATAATTGCGACACGGCCCGGCCAGCCAGTACGGCGAAATCTGACAAGCAGGTAATTTTCACAATAAAAGTCGCGCTCGATATTTTTCCGAACCACTGCAAGCAGGCCGAACAGAATTCACCCAGGATATTTTTTTTCTGTTACTTGGTGAAACGAACCGCAATAGCACGATACTTTAATGTCGCAGATTTGGGATGCAAACCAGATGCTGTTGTGAACCTGGGAGAAATCAAGTGACCGCTGCGTGGAGATGATGACTGTGTAAAATTGTGAACGCACGCAAACCGGGATCCCACACAATGCGGCTATTCGGTGGATAATTTGATCGCTGCAGTGGAAAAGGGCGTGAGTTGCCATTGTGTCCAAATGTATTCAGTTAAGGTAAGCGGATCCTAAACAATGTCCCGTGGATGATCTCAATGGAAGAAAACATTGGATTTATAGATGTGTGTCTGTGCACGTGGTCCATCAACGCAAAACCGGTAAAATCACGGCGTGTCATTCAATGACCTCCCCGTCTGCTTTTCGATTTGCACCCAGCACGAATGGTTGATGATTTTACATGTCCTCTCGCGGTGATAGTTTTTATTCCCGAAAACTCACAGCTACGAGTGTATTGAGAGACGTAGCCTTGTCAAGCCCACGGAGTTATTATGGCGGAGGAGGATCGGGAAGCGCAGAGACTACCCCGAGTTCGGGGCGGCTCGGTCCGGATCCGGGCGCCGGGGGAACAATCCATGGGCCGGCGAAGTTCACCGCCCCCATCACGGTCGCCGTCGTCGTCACAGGGCGACATGGGTGATCATGATGCGGAGCAGCCCAGCCCCACCGGTGAAGGCTCGGTTGGGTTCGCATCCAGGGATGGTGTGGACGAGGATGGCATGTCAACTGGAAGTTGTGAGGAAGAGTTACCCTTTCCTGGGCTAAATGACAAGGTGTTCTACTGCCTAAGCCAGACATCCAAACCCAGAGTGTGGTGCATTCAGCTTGTGTGCTGGCCATATCCTTTTCAGTTTGAATGAATTTTCGAAATTTGTATTCCAATATCGTATTCTGTGCCATTTTACCCCACAAATGTCATAAATTACTCTTCTTTCAGTGGTCATATTTTGATATACATGTCTTTTTGATTGGATTTTATCATTTTTACCACCTTATTTGGTAATACCCGCCTTTCAGTGAATAAAATGGAGTGCCATCTGGACATAATTCAATACTGTGATATTATAAATGCAATATTGACCTTGGCATTTTCTGGAAAAGGAAACTAACATGCTTTTCCCTGCAACATTTCAAATGGACAATTTACAATGTATTGTATTCTCTTCATCCATGAGGACAGTTTTTCTGGTTTGAAATATTATATGAGAGGCTTAGTGTTTGTGCCAAGGCACCATGTGAATAAAATCATCATAAAGCTTAATGGTACTTTTAAGAGTCCGATTAACGAACAGGTCAGTGGTAAGTTTTAATATCTTGTGCACAGATTATGTTTGCACTGTTCTTGCACAAAATAATTGCATGTTGTGGTCCAGTGCCGTTCCAATCCATTGACAAAGTAGACCATGCCGTTAACACTCAGTGTGCCTCCTTCCTTATTTCAACCTTTTTTTGAAGTTTCCACTTGGCCTTAGGTAGAATTAGCATGATTAGGAGTGTGAATTATGTTTCAAGGTTTTGTGCCGAAGTAAATTCCTCAACTTTTTAGTTTGGGCCACAGTTGAAGTTTGCCGAGGTCAAATGAACCTTTGAGAGCTTAGAAAGTGAATGTATGTGTAACTGCCAAAAAAGCTTACTCTTAAAGAACACATTGCGACCCTTGCCAAATTGAAATACCAGCATCAATTGTGCCATGTTTCTGCTACCATAGATATCCTGAGTAGGCTATGGTTTTTCATCTTTAAATTCTGCTTGTATGAGTTCTGAGCTGAACTGACAGTATATGTGGCGTTGGTTAGACTGCAACGAATATGGATCCGAAAAGTCAAATAGGTTTTGTCATTTCTTTCCCAATAACAGTAGATGGTTCCCTCCCTGTTTGCATAAACCTTATCGTTAAGTGTTTGCTGGCATACAACCTTATCTTAATATGACCATCATTTAGACATCCTCTTTGTTAAAGATTTACTCTGTAGGTGTTTTCTTAGGATATCATATTGTGACATTTTTTAATGGGAGAAGGTACAGGTATAAATGATCCATGTACAATTACATGTACACGTATGTACGTGTAGAAGTCACTAACATCTGTATATGCTTACATTAGAGCAAGGTCACAGGACACATGTACAGAGGCTCTACATTACTTCATGTACATACATTTTGGCCGACTTCGTCTATACATTTAAGAGACTTTTTTTACCTGATTAGCATACAGGTATTCCTGATACCCAAAAGCTGATACAAAGAAGTGAATCTGATACCCCTGTCCCTGTGTGTGGCTGGAAGCTTCTTTACTCGTATGGATTTGCAAAATTTGTCTTTTTCTAGAGATTTTCGGGTTTGCTTTAGTGAATGCTGTTGACATGTTTTATGTCCCCTTCTAATCTGTTTTTTTTTTTTTTTTAGCAATTTTTTGTTAGGGGGATGTGTGCCAGATCTTTCAGAAAACTTTCAGAGTATGACCTTGAATTTCTTTTCACTTCATACTATGACAACACTCGGGGACAGAATAATGCACTTTGTTCATTTTCACATAACATGTCGTAGCACATAGTGCGCTCAAGTATGTACGTGTGCACGTATACATGTACAGGTGTGTGAATACTTTTCATTAGAAAGTGTGGTAATCCATGTCATATCCATTAGGCTTTATGTAGGCATCAGGTCCACAGCTGCAATGACACTGATGTGTCAGCCAAGCCTCTCCCTTTGTCACCAGTGAGGGGGTAGTTGTGCATGGAATCTCTCACGACACCCTATGGGTCAAACAGGCATGTAACGTGCGTGTACCACCTGTCCACAAGTGAACTTCTCTGTGACATGAATGTGTTATAGTCTAAACAGACTAAAGTTACTTTGTGGTCGAAAGCAAAAACCCGTGTTTTAATACTGAAAAGCATGTCCTTGATGGATTACCAAATAAAATGATTGTGGGAAAAAACTCATGATCATTGGAAACATTTTATTGAGAATAACTCAAAGACACAATTGAGAGCAACTCTGCCAGACTTCTTTCATAATGTACTGCCTGAATTATTTTTGATAGCAAAATCAGATAAAGAACGGTGCATGCCATTTGATTTGGAGTATGTATCTAAACTTTGAATTACATGGACATATATGCCCCTCTCAAACACAGGAACGCATGTAATTTTGTATTTTTCACTCCCATTCCTGTGTAAATATGCCCTCTGTTAGACCACACACACCCTGTAGGAGGTGTGCACTGTCAGCCATTCAAATCTATATAATTGAAAGGATGGTTGTGCTGTTGCTTTCACTGCACATTGTGAACCCTTCATGTTTGGATGATCTTTATGCAAGAGTGAGCAATTCATAATCTATTCAAGGTGCACAGCAGGATTCCTATTGGATGGGTCATGGTGCAAAAGGGGATGCAAAAAGAAGAAGAACATTATTCAAAATGATCAGCAGTTTACATGAGACTGTGCAAAGTGCCGTACGCGTATATGGTATGATTTTGTCTCTGAAAGCAAGTACATGTACAAAACACTGTCAACTTAGTGATGAAAAAGGTTAATGTTTCTTAACAGGTTTGGTTTGGGGGAAAACTCTTTCTCCCACAATTTTCATACAAATCGCGTCAGTTCTCTGAATTTATCAAAACAACTCAGTTAGTTACATACAAGAATATCATTTATTCCTCAGAAGGCTTTTATTTTTCAATCTACTTGAAATACCTAATTTTAACCCTAGTTTTCTTGATAAACTTTTCCTTGAAGACATTATAGTATAATGTGATATTTAAAGCACTTATACAATTGTATGATTCATTTGATATGAACCCAGTGGTAAAACATACAAATTGTTGCAAATGAAATTTTAATTTATAATCATTGGTACATTACAGATGGGCGCATGTACATGTATGTGTGTACATGTTGCAGCCTGTGTACTTTTGGCTAAGAATTTAATGTCTCAACATTCGACTTGTGGTAATTGAGTTACATGGACGTGTGTTCTTAGGGCGGGACGTTTACACGTTTAAACATTTAAACAAAATAAGTGCCAAATCCGTTTACAGATTGTCCCAAATATTTAAACTGAACTGCCGCTTTTAGACGTTTTGACTGGCGCATAGTGGCAGTCATTTTTATTGCAAAAGATGCCAGTAAAATGTAATCTGATTTACGAAACACTTTACTGCTCGGTCATATCAAAGGAATACCATGAAATCATCACCCCAACTTTGTGGCGACTATTTACATGTACACAATTTATTCTAAAGTTTTCAATGACACTGTAATAAGGGTGGGGCATTTAAATGGTATGAGAAAGTTTTCTAAACATTGTCAAATGAAATGTAAATACCCAACCTTAATGTGTTCCAGAAACATGTAACCTACAGGAATAAGTAAACTTGTGGATGAATTGCGAGAGCGAATTTGGCTAAATATTCTGCCTTCAAGTTTGCACATTTTACACAGTGAGCTTTTTCAGTTTTGAATGAAAATGCTTTGAACTACATGTAAATAATGATTTTTATGAATAATAGGTAATAAGTACTGTAAGTTTTTCAATCGTTTTAGTGTAAGAAAAGCAAAGACATTTCGTACCCCATTGTTGTGCATATATCCGTTGCCCATAACCAAGGAAAATGAAAATCAGGGTTATTCATGCAGTCCCATCAAGAGCTAGACATGCTAATGTTCAGACTGAGACTGTTGCCAAGTTCTGCTAGCCTCGAGACGAGCCTCATTACTTATTCTCTGCACCTTAATGGTTGGCACGCGCGGTACCTGCCCCTGTATTTGCATCACATGTAGATGCATACATGTCTAAGATGTGCTGATGAAAAATAATATACCATGGATGCTGCAGTGTAGACCTATGTACGTGTATGTACTGTCTGTTTAAAAGCCAAAAATAGCTTTTAAAAGCGAGAGACCTCTGTATAATGTAATAATTGTCTGGTAAAACAACTTCAAAATCACAGTCATTTATGCTTATCCTCAATGTATCGTGTGCTTGAGATGGTGAGCATGTACATTGTAAATTGCTTTTGGTCATCAAATACCTGTACACAAATAGTTTTAGTAAATGTTCACTGAAAAAAATTAGGGTCGAAAACAAAGAGAAAGTTTTGATTTATGTTTGTTTCTTATTAAAATGTACTAGGCTTCCTGTAAATCTATTTTTAAAATTGCAAATATATCTTGTTTACCAAGGTACACATAGGTGTTTCATTTTACATTTGTTGCACTTTGTAAACCGGGATTGCGTTGAATTTTCAGTTAAAAACGTACAAGATTCACAATGCAATCCAAGTTTAATTAAAAACCTAACAATTGCCACCGGAACACAAGATGATGTAAACTGATAACTTTGAGGTGCTCAGCCAGCTGCAAACTCACTGTAAATTGGTAATGATTTGCCGAGTGCTACCCTGACTGCCTGCACCACCTTGTGCTGAGCACAGATACACAAATTATTTCCCATTTTATTCCGTCTCCCTGTCCCTTTCTTCTGCATTGTTGGCGATGTTTGTACAACACAGACATTTAATGCTTCCCAGAATAAAACGTGTGCTGCCCAATGACACCCATGTACACAAATGTCTCCCTGTGCCAGTACATCACCACAGCCTTTGGCATTATCATTTTCTTCCCCCCAGTTTGAAAGAAAATACCATATTTGGTGAAGTCAGAAACAGCGCATGTCCTGGGTCAGTGGTTAAAGGAAACCACTCATTCACTGGGCTTACATGTAATTGCAGCCAGGGCAACCATAGCCAGGCGCACATACCTATCCTACATACAGCATCTGATCTCCGGCCGGCATTCCATTGTCCCGTTGCCTAGTCCCCCATTGGTTATT